TTGTGGAACGCTGCTGGCCTGGGTGAAAACTTTCTGGATTGCTCTTTAAAGTAATTTTTCCTTGGAGAGGGAGCACTATCTGCAGTTAAAACTAGAAAAGTTGAAATGCAATCCTCAGACCTTTTTTTCCTTTGTTTTCAATCTTCTCAATGAGATTTTCAATTTAGAGATTCTGGAGGAACGGCAAAGGCAGCTGGCTCTTGGAGAAGTTGTCATGCAATAGGTCAGAGGCAAATGTAGAGTGTGCCAGTTGCTCTGAATGACCTCCTAAGATGGATGATATTAAGTGTTCCCAGGGTTTATGAGAGGAGGAGGCTTGGGTAGGAACTGATTGCATACCACACTCTCCAGGAAAACCTTCCCCTCTGGAAGCACTCACTTGATGCCAAATGCACAGCTGCCTACACTGCAATGACATAAGCTGAACATCTTCTTCACACTCGTGTATTTGAACCTGACCCAGACACAGCAGGGTCTCAGCTGACTATATCACATTACAGATGTGCATGCTCACAACAGATTTATTGCCTGGTGTGTTCTGGAAATACCTCTCTCTTTCCTGCTCCCTTTCTACAGAGCTTCTCAGGAAAAACACACATGCACCTCCCTCCCACAATACACATCCTGCTCACAATGTCTTCTGTATTTCAGACCCATTTAGAGTAAGAATCACATCTAAGACATCTCAGAGGTGCTACCCACAATTTCATTCCTGGTCCACACCTTCTTTCAGAATTCCTGAAAAATTGCCAAACAGGGAAAGAAAATCTTCCTGCAAAAGAAACTCGGAGGATTGTGGAAGGATCAAAGAAAATAGTAGCTTCATACAGAAGTGTTATTACTAATTTAACTACATAGAATGATTAATTGTTTGTAGCATTTGAGATCCAACAGGTCTGCCCCACCATTTCTTGACATTCTTTGTCCTGTCTCATCAGTGATTGAACTTCTAAGCAAAATTTCACTGTAGGTTTGCCAGTTAGGAGAGCAGTTTACTGCCAAACCAAAGGCATAAGATTGCAAATTGATTCTGTTAGGAGGTGAAATTGCAGGAGTGATCTGGTGTTTCACTGATGTTATCTCACAGGCTTCCATCAACACTGAGGTTGCTCAGCCATTCTTGCTTTCCTAATGATTTCAGCCAGTTGGCCTCTCACACTCACAGAGTTGACTCACTTGACTCACACATCTAAACTCTTTGGAGCATGGTCTGAGGAAGAGAAAATCATCCTAGTCACCTTATTCCAATTTTTATGTAGTCTGTGAAAAATGGATTTTCTCGTTTTGATCTTTTCAATCCAACTAACTCTTTTTTTATACTCATTTTGAAGAGGAGATGTTCCAGTAAATACTTCTGTAAAGGTTTTACCCTACCTCAGGCATGACAGCATTTGATATATGCAACTACTGAGAAATTAATTTTAGTTGTGTCAGAACGGCTTCTCTCCCACTCCTTCTGTTGGTGGATAAGAAGTCGAAGGGCAGTTGCATCATGCACAGCATGGAAACTGGAGGAGCAGGGTAAGGGAAGAGTTTATTTCCATCTTCTCTGAATGGAGGCCACACCTGGAATACTGCATTCTTTCAGATACCCTATGGAAAGGTCAATGTGAACAAAATGGTGGGAGCCCCTACAGGCCACTGGATGGCACAGGAGCATCCCAGGGAGCAGGAGAGTCTCAGGGGCCTGGTCCTCTTCAGCCTGGAGAAGACAAAGCTGTTAGCAGAGAGGCTCAGCAAAAGGACAACTGGAAAGAGTCTTAGATGGCAATAGGGAAACTCAGACATAAAATAAGGAATAAAAACCTCATACCAAGTATAATTCAGCACTGACAGAAAGGCCAGAGACCCTGGGGAATCTCCACCATTGCTGTTCTCCAGAAATCACTTGAAGATGGCCATGAGTAACCTCTTTTTCTTTGGCATTATCTCTGCTCTGAAGAAGGCCCTGGTCTAGGGAGGTCCCTTATACACTAAATCTTTCTGTCAGTAATTCTAAGGAAGATTTTAAAACTTTTGTCATTTTCTGCTTAATTTCATTTTTTTGTTCAATTTCAATGAAAAAGTATTATCAGCAAGTCATATGTACAATAACTTCAGGATTACTTCTTGGATATTTATAAATTCCATCTCCCCAACATCAGAATTCCCACTCAATTCACCAGTGGCTTTCACCTGCTCTATTGTCAAATGTAATCCTCTCCACTTTGAAGGGTCAAAGTCCTTCTCCACCTTTACTTCATCCTCCTATTACTGAAAAACTTTCAAGAATCCCTTGCTAGAGTTCTGGACCTGACACTTCTGCATTTTTTTAGAGTCTGCTTTTTATTTAAAAAAAAGCTTTGCAAATATGAAATTTCCTGAAACCACCCCATCCATATCTCTCCTTAAAACTTTCCTTTTCCGTTTTGTAGGATTGCACTCCTCTCTGGGGCAAGGGTAGCTGTGCCTATGACATTCCAAGCAGAGTGTATGGGCTGCAAGAAAAATTTAGTCTGGAAAGAACCTCCAGGGTTTCCTGCTTCAAACTGCTGCTCATGGCAGGACAGAGATTGGGGAGATATTCCCATGCTGATTATGAAGCCAGGGTGGAGACAGCAGTGTGGGACAGGAAGGTTTGTTGCTGTACTGTTATGAAAATATTTCCTGCAGGGGGCTGAGGGAACAGGAAATGTTGGGCAAGTGGCCACGGCTGTGTTGGTGGGTGGGGGTAGAAGAGAGGCTGCAGGAAGGCACAGGGAGCTGAGAGAGACAGCGAGTCTCAGGACAGGTAGCACAGCTTCAGCTGGCCATGGCAGGCACAGACAGACAGACAGACTGACACACAGACAAGCCCTGTCCTCAGCTGATGGAGTGTTGCTGCAACAGAGGAAGGGAAGCAGGTGGCCAAAGAACTGCTTCTCCAGGGGAACAGACTGTTAGACAGTCACAGGTGTTTGGAATTAAGCATTGCACGTTACCTTATTTGTCTTCCATTCTGGAGTTCTCTTTTCTTCCTTTGATAAGAGTAGGGTTCCCTAAGCCATGTGTTTTATACCTCCAGGTATGGGAAATGAGCTAGCTGACTCCCCACAACCTTTCTTGACTTCTCCCAGGTTTCCAGGTAAATCTTGTGTTCACAGCAACTCCTTCAAGATCTGATCAGGACCTTGCTCACCTTGACAGAAGAGTTATGTTTACAACTGCAATGGAAAAGAAACAAAACATGTGAAAGAGCTAAGGCAGGGAACAGGAGAAAGGTGGAGCAATGCATAACAACCCAATCAATCAGGTATTTGTAGGGTTTTTTAAAAATTTGAATATATGTGATTACCTTCTGTTTCTATCTGATATGTGAAAAGACAAGAAATAATTATAGAGAATAAATGCAAGTGACAGAAGTCTCCATGTCCCTCCCTCTCTTCCTCCCTGCTTCACTAAATGATTTCTACACTTCCTTAGACACTGAAGCAGGAGTAGCTATAGTCTTTTATAAGCATAGCAAACTTTTCTGAAGCCAGAGATAGCCAGGATCAGGTATTCCTGAAGAAAAATAAATTCCTTTACCTGGTTTTTGCCAGATTAATTTTAACTCACTACTTTGGCCTTCTTTATCTTCCAGTTAGGAGGAGGAATAATAGGCCCAAAGCATGAATTTCAGGGCAGTTTCTACTATCAAGAAAAGAAAAAAATATTAACTGAATGCTTATATGTTATACCCTAAGAGACATTGCAAGAATCTTCAGGTCATAGTGTCAGAAACAAGGAAATTACATCAACAAAGATGTTCCTGCATCTTTATTTTTTTTTTTCCATTGTATGAAAGTGCTCTAGAGTCTTGAATTCTTACTGTATATGTGCTGCTTTTCAACCATGCTTCACAACATTCAGACAATATCCACAATATGCATGAGAAGCAGCTGGAAAGGTGCTATTCGTCTACCCTGTCATGCCACAACCATAAACCATCCAGCCTTAGCTGTAAAAATGCTAAAGCTTTAGCAGACACTTCTGTCTACACAGCCCTACACAGTAGGACAGGGTGGATTTCCTCTTCAGTCAGCCTGGGAAAGCAAGGGTTTTACTGATACTTGGAGCCATATAAATCCATTGTGCTGATATTCAAAATTTAAAACTGTTGCTGCAAAAAGAAGTACTGTAGATGTAAAAAGAGGAACATGAAAGTAAGAGACTGGGACCTGAAAGCACGGCAAGGCTCACTGTATTGCTGAATTTGCACATCCTAGAATCACAAAATCACGGAATGATTTTGGCTGGAAGAGGTTTAAAAACACCATCTAGTTGTACAGCGTGCCAGAAGCAGGGAGATTTTGCACTGGGCCGGGTTGCTCAAAGCTGTGTCCAGCCTGGCCTGAACACTTGGAGGGATGGCTCAACTACAGCTTCTCTGGGCAGAGAGCAGTGCAGGGCAATGGGGCAAACTGCAGGCCAGCACAGAGGGACATAAACACTGCAGTGCAGAGCTGCCACGGGACAGCTGCCACAATGCACAGCTCAGGGCGTGCAGCTGTCACTGGGCAGGGGTTCACTTCCAGGTGAACTTGATCATGGCTAATCTGTTCCTGATATACCTTGTCATGCCTCATTCCTTATCAAGATATTACAGGTTTAGAAAACAAGACAGGTTTTACCATTAGGATTAAAGAACTCAAATTAGTGAAAACATTATGTTTATTATGTGATTAAGGGCAGTAGAAGACTGTATCATTGCTACAACCACTGCCTTGAGATACAACCAAGAATGTAATAGCTAGGTACAATGTGCAGCTGAGAGTTTGGCCAAGATCAGCAACAGGCTATTACTCAACCAAAACTTTTTGAGTCAAGCCTGACTCCGCTGTTACTGGCCAATTAAACTGGAAGGAGACAATTCTCCAGGAGACATCCAGGAAAAATGTTTGCAAGTGACTCCATGGACCATTCTCTGGATACTCAGAGACATCTCACCATGAAAGAGCAATATCTATCTATTCTAAAGATGCACGAAACAGACCCATTGCTAATTGCAAAAGATTCTTTAATAGCACCGACACAAAATGGATTACAGACAATGGCAGAGGGCACAGCACCACAAGGGCATTGCAAAGCAAATTACAGAGGAAGCGATGCTGGTTCTGTACTAACACTTTCTGTTTCACTCAGCAACAGAAACAACATGCAGTGCTTTGACATTCCATAGCCCAGGACTCTGGAATGCCACCTCAGGGTAGAATAGATTTCACACATCTGGCATGCCTCCTCTAGCTTGGACACTCTTTCGTATGATCAAGCATCATGATTAGTGGGGTGGGAGAAGAGTGCAAGGCAGGATAGAGAAGTACAGATCTGCAGTGCAGCCTAGCAGAGAGCTCTCACATCCAGTGGTCCTGTGACACCGGGGAAAAGGGCAGCACAAGCAGAGGCAGGGAACAAGGTCTCAATTTTCTTGCTGCGGCTGCATCTTTCCTCAGTGCTGCAGGATTTGCAGTCTAAGAGTCACTGCCAGGGCGAAGGGGACGCAGGAAGGAAAGCTTGTCATTGAAATTGATTGTCGTGTAATTTGGAAGGTTTTCATGTTCTCGAGCAAGGTATTGAATTCCACTTCCATCGCTGTTTTCACACAGCAGCCACACACCTCTCTGGACTTTGTGAGAAGACATGATGTCATTGTCATGTCCTTCACCCAGGTTGGTTTCTTCTGTTATTATTCTGCTCCTCCCTTGATAATCAGCGTGTTCGTAGAGAGTGATCTGGGGATTGTGCAGATTTTCAGTGATCAGCTGCAGAGAACTGATCTTGTCATTCATCTCTTCTCCAACAAACTTATGTTCTCCCTCCTCAAATACCAGAAATCGGCCTCCGTAGTTTGAATGCTCATAAGCCACCCAAGGCTGGCCAATTACTTTCACTGAGGAGACAATATCATTCCAATTTACATCTTGTAGATTGGAAATGCTAGTTGTGAATTCCCTGGACAAACCCTGGAAGTTGGCATGCTCATAAATGATGATTTTGCCCATCTCAGTAGGACTTCTGGAGTGCAGATTTCTTGCTATAAGAACTGGATGAGAGCCTGCACAAAAGGAAGACAGAAAACAAGCAGAGTTTGTGAGAAAATTTTATACTCCAGACACAAAATTATGGGAAGTGTGGTGGAGAAAAGGATAAGTAGAATGTTTTTAGCAGAATAAACATAGCAGCAGCTGGAAAAGAGTGAGGGCATGACACAGAAATTTTTATTTGGAAGACAATGTACAATGAGCTATGTACACATAACTACCCAGTTTTAATTAGATATATGTGTTGGTTTACAGATATCCCCCAGTGTAAGTTGTAAAATACTCTCACATTCATCCCCCACAACTGTGTATCCCTGGCCCCCTCCACCCTGTCCCTTGGTAAGGTTTGTTTCTCCTGCAGCAGCCATCTCCTTGTGCCCTGAAGGATGGGTTCAGTCTCTGCACATGCACACAGCAGAGCCTCCCGTCTGTGCTGCAGCTCTCAGCCCCACGCTGAAGCCTCCTTCCCTTCCCCTGCATTCCACAGCAGCTGCCCAGGAAACCTCCCAGCTCTCCTGTGCAAAGTGTGCCTCTTACCTCGATGCCAGCTGCAGGGCTGGGGAGAGCTGAGGGCAATTCCTCCAGTGCTGTTTGAGGAGGGCATCTCACCTACCTCCATTTATAGCTCGCACTGAAGTCTTGTGCAACACCCTAGGTGACAGCATGAAAAGTGACCAAAACTCTCCAAAAGCCAGATCAGCCACAGCAATTCAGACACACCAAAGTACACTGTGACACAGGGGCTCTGGAAGTTTCCTGTTTGTGGCAGTTTATAGCCTTGCTTTCCTGGGTCAGGATATCCAGGTCACTGAGATGGCACTGAAGTACCAGTTTTCAAAAAAAAATCCCTTTTCTCCTTAAAGTCATGGAATCATTAAGGACTCCTTCCTACTGCCTTGGAAAAGACGTCCAAGATCATCAAGTCCAACCTTTGCCCAAATACCAGCATGCCCACTAATCCATATTGCAAATATCACTTCTGCTTCCCTGGCTTCATACCCAGCATGGGACAATATCTCCACATTCCCCATCCTGCTGTGAGCAGCAGCTTCAAGTACAGACCCCTCAAGGTTCCTTCCACCTGAAACGCTTGGAGGAGTTCATACACTTTCCTTGGCCTGTCATGGGGACAGCTGCCCATGCGCCAGAGAGGAGTGCAGTCCTACAAAACAGCAAAGAAATGGTTCAAGAAGGGATGTGGATGGGAATGTTAAAGGAAATTTGCATTTGCTCTTGCCGAGGTTTGTTTTGGGGTGTATTTAATCAATGACAGTATCCAAAAAAATGTGGGAGTGTCGCATCCAAAAATCTAGCAAAGGATTCTTGAAAGTTTTTCAGTGACAAGAGGATGAAGTAGAGGTGGAGAAGATTCTGAGCCTTCAATAGAGGGAATTACATTTGACAAGAGAGCAGGTGAGAGCCTGTGGAGGAATGGGGAGGGAAGTCTGACTTTAGGGAGATAGAGTTCATAAATGCCCAACAAGGAAACTCAAGGCTGTTGTTCACATGACTTGATGTTTTTCATTGAAATTGGACAATGGATGCAATTAGGCAGAAAGTGACAAAGGCTTTTAAATGTTCCTTAGAATTACTGACAGAAAGATTTATTTTGCAAGGGAGGCCAAGGCCTTGTTCAGAGCAGAGCTACTTCCAAACATGACCAGGTTACTCATGGCAACCTTCAAATGATTTCTGAACAATTGCAATGGTGGAGATTCCCCAAGATTGCTGGCCTTCCTTTCAGTGTTGAAAATAACAACAGGGCTATGGTTATTTTCCTTATTTTCAGTCAGAGCTTCCCTGTTACCAGATAAGACTCTTTCCAGATGTCCTTTTGCTGAGCCCCTCTGGAAAGCCTTAGCCTTGTCTCTTACATGGCTGAGAAAAATTTCCTGATGAGGTCAGAAAATTTTAAATCACACCACACAGAGAACTTGGATAGTCTGCATACTCTGAGGTTTCCAATACCAGACTGGATAAAGCCACCAACAACCATAATTCACCTCACAGCTGTACCTGTGTTAAGCAGCTGACTGGATCCAATGGCAACCAAAGGTCACTTCCAACTTCAATTACCCACCAACCCTACAATCCTCCTGGTTCCCCGGATCATTCAAGCTCATCACATAAGGACCCAGATAGGCAAATCCCAGTATTTCCTGAGCTGTCTTGCTCCTGAGGAATCCTGCTATAAATAAAGATGATCAATGTCCCTCGTCCATCCCATTCAGCCTTGTCAGACTGATGCTGTCCTGATGGGGATGGGGATTTTTGTGCACTCAGGACACGGACTCAGTGAGTCTAATGAGCTCCTTTGCATTGACCTTGCACTCAGCAGTTAATGTCTCCCTGCAATTTGTCTATCCTCCGTTTAGTGTTTGAAGGTTTCTTGGTGAATTTGGGGTTTTTGAAGGGAATAATTCATGAGGTGGTTCTCCTGCTTCTGAGAGAGAGTAGAAGTAGAATCACACCCAACCACCAGTGCAAGAAAAAGAGAACTGAGAGAGCATCTGCTGATCTGTAGGATTTCAACACACAAGGTGCTCTTCTGAGAAAGCCCATGATAGTTCCTACAAAGAGCTGATCAGGATTGAAAGTAAAAGGAAAGAACACTAAAGTTACATGAGAGTGCTTCTTCTGTGGGGGAAAGCCAAAGTTCCAGGGTGTCTTCCTGGCCAGGTCACTTTCTGAGTGCCGTGTGTCGGGATAGCTCAGGATGAGCGGAGCTCAGCCCCAGGAACTCCTCCTGCTCAGCTGCTGCAGCCCAGGCTGCAGGCTCTCTGTCCAGGCTGCTGCTCCCAGTGCCACTGCCAGGGCTGCAGGGGCAGCCCGTGCTGGGCTTGGCTGTGTGACCCAGGGACAGGCACCGCCTGTGCACGGAAAGGACACGGACAGGGCCAGCGGCACCGGCTGCCACACACCAGGGGCTGCCCTCAGCCACCCCACAGCTGACACCACCAGCACCCCCACAGAATGGGATGGCAGAGGGACAGCCCCATCTCCTTCCTTCTCAGCAAGCCATCCCCACGGAAGCCCTCTAGTGAAGACCTGCACACCCTCGCTCTCCACAGCCACAAACACCTCCACAGGTGCTTCCAACAGGACTGAGAGCCCTCAGCCTGTCCAGTCTCACACCTGGCTCTGGGCTCTCTGGCCAGAGGACACTTTGGTGTCTCCTAGTCCCTGGCTGGTGCAGCTTGGTGCTTGCAGCCAGCCCCCACACACCACACACTGTTCTCATGGGTGTTCCGGCCGTCGTGGGTGCCTTGAATCCCAGCACGAGTCTCCTGCCTGTCTGAAATCCCTCTCTATATCCATGCCCTGCCTGCTGGCTGCTCCAGCTGAAACGTTGCTGGCAAATCACATCATTATGACTCCTTTTGAATCAGAAAGATTCATTTGTTAGATAAACTTCATAGAGCAGAAGCTGTCATATTTCACATACCCTTACAAGCATGTCTTCCCACACTTCAAAATATTCTAGTGCTGGAAGCCTGCAGACACAAAGAGCAAGACAGGTCTTAGTGTGACAGGAGGGGACACCTGTAGAGCTGGTGAATGAAGAAGGGCACCCCTACCACAGGACTCATTGCTGCAGAGCTTATGTGATGCTCTGTCCTGCAACTCTGCAGAATCCCAGGAGCACTCAAAGCGTGTGATCAAGTAATGACACTCTCTACACTCCAACAAAATTGTTCTCTTTCAGTGCACCCTCTAGGTTGTTCATCAGGTCCTGAACTTTTCTTGAGAAGCATCACTGAAAATGGCCATCCCGGGTGTTCCACAGTCTCAGATCCCAAGAATTACAGAGGCAGAGTTCTCAAGAGCACACCAAAGGTGTTGTCACTTTTGTGATCACAGAAGAAATTATTTCCTATAAGACATCTGTGTCAGTATCAATTTGGATCCTTTGACCGTGAGATCTTTTTGTGCACTGCAAAGAGCCCTCGTGATTGAGAGCAAAGTCTGGCATCAGGGAGAATAATTTAAGATAGGACATAATTTGTGTCCATGTAGTGAAGAAAAGAAAGGAGGATCAGGAAGTGAGGAGAACCAAGACCTCTGGATCAAAGATTTCAAAATCAAAAATAAGCTGGGGCAGGACTATCTCTGCTTTCTTGTTCCAGAATAAACATAGCAGCATCTGCAAAGGAGTGAGGGCATGACACAGAAATTTTCATTTGGAAGACAATGTACTATGAGCTATGTACACATAACTACCCAGTTTTAATTAGATGTATGTGTTGGTTTACAGATATCCCCCAGTGTAAGTTGTAAAATACTCTCACATTCATCCCCCACAACTGTGTATCCCTGGCCCCCTCCACCCTGTCCCTTGGTACGGTTTGTTTCTCCTGCAGCAGCCATCTCCTCGTGCCCTGAAGGATGGGTTCAGTCTCTGCACATGCACACAGCAGAGCCTCCCGTCTGTGCTGCAGCTCTCAGCCCCACGCTGAAGCCTCCTTCCCTTCCCCTGCATTCCACAGCAGCTGCCCAGGAAACCTCCCAGCTCTCCTGTGCAAAGTGTGCCTCTTACCTCGATGCCAGCTGCAGGGCTGGGGAGAGCTGAGGGCAATTCCTCCAGTGCTGTTTGGGAAGGGCATCTCATCTTCCTATATTTATACTTGCACAGAAGTGAAAGTGTGAATCACCCAATTCCAAGGTACTGGGAATGGTCAATATCATGCTCAGGGGTCAAAAATCATTAAATATTCTATCTTGGTTTCAATGCCCTACAACCAGGCATCTCATTGCTCTGGTTCAAAATTCCACTGACAGGTGAGTGACCTGATAACTTTAGAACTTGGCTTCATGTTTGTCCTCCTTCAGAGGCCTTCTGAACCATAGTAATTGGAACATATTAATTGGAACAACCCCAGTTCCTTTGGCTACTCCTCATCAGAACTGCGCTCCAGATCCTTCAGCTGCTCATTTCCCTTCTCTGGACTCACTCCAGCCCCTCAGTGTCTTTCTTGCAGTGGAGAGCCCAGAAATGGACCCAGCAGTTGAGATGTGGCCTCGCCAGTGCAGAATACAAGAGGACAATCCCTGCTCTGGTCCTGCTGGCCACACTATTGTGATACAGGCCAGGATGCCCTTGGCCTTCCTGGCCACCTGGGCACAGCTGGTTCACATTCAGCTGCTGTCTACCATGTGTGAGGTTTTTGTGACCACAGGGCAGGACTCAACCCTCAGCCTTGTTGAACTTCATACTATTGGCCTCAGTGCATTGATCCCTCTGCAGAGCCTTCTTACCCTCCAGCACACAACACTCACACCCAAGGTGATGGTGCCTATGAACCGACTAAGGGGGGAGATCCAAGGATGGGGCATCCACAACTTCTCTGTAAAACCTTTTCCAGTGCCTCACCACCCTCACAGTGAAGAATTTCTTCGTAATATCTAGCTTAAACCTACGCTCTTTCAACTTGAAAGATCATAGTAAAAATTTCTTTCTCTGCCTTTCTTATAAGCCCCTTTATATTTTGAAATGAGAAGCCTTGTCTTCTCTAGGCTGAACAACTCCAAGTATCTCTGCCTTTCTTTGTAGGAGGTTCTCCAGCCCTCTGACCATTTTCATGGCCCACCTCTAGACCTGCTGTAACAGGGCTGTGTCTCTCTTGTTCAGGAAACCCCACGTCTGCATGCAGTACTCCATGTAGAGTCTCACCACAGCAGAGTAGAAGGCAAGAATCATCTCCCTCATCCTGCAAACTACATTTTATGCAGCCCAGGATACAGCTGGCTTTCTAGGTGGCAAGTGTCAGGTCATGTCCAGTTTCTCATGCACTGGTGTTCTCAGTTCCTTTTTTACAGGGCTGCCCTCAGCCCATTCATTCCTCAGCCTACACTGCTCATGGTGATTGCTCTGACATCCAGTTGCAGGATCTTGCACTCAGCCTTGCTGAAATTTAGGGGGTTCCCATCGGGCCATTTCTCAAGGTTCTCGAGGTCCTTCTTCACTGTGAGAATCCAGGGCTTCCCTCTGGCTGCCCTGGAAGGCCTGGGACCCTGGCAGGGGGTCGGGAACACCCCTGTACAGAGCCCCCAGAGACACTGTCTCTGATCTCTGTCCATGGAAAAGAGTTTTCAATCTTACAGGATGAATTACAAGCTCTGAGTGCTTGATATAAGTAATAATTAAGTGTGGCACGGGTGCAAAAGGAAAATTTTAGGATTCTAGATTAGGGGTTCAAAGGGGACAAGATGGAGGAAATTGGGTGTGTCTTGTCCTTTTTCTCCTTCTTCATGCCCTCCATGTTTCACTGTAGTGTTGGCATTTTTCTCTTGGTTTAGGCTGGGGACACACTGTTCAACGTAGGTGACAGATATTGGCACATTATTGTAAATATAGCACAGGTAGTTTCTGGTATATAATGTTTGTAACATCCCACTGAGGGGCAGAGCCCCACACGCTGCCCTGCAGGACAGACCTGCGGCAGGGCAGCAGAACATGTTAGAGATAAGCAAGAATAAACAACCTTGAAAACCAGCACAGACTAATTATGACTTCTTCTTTGGCAGGGGGGCAGAAAGACAGAGACTTTCTACAATCTCGGAATCATCAATACCTCAGATTCCAACACTTCACAGTCCCTTCCTTCCATCAAAACAACACACAACTCAGCTTGGTGTCATCTGCAAACTTGCTGAGGGTGTACCTGACCTGTTTATAACATCAAGAAAGATATTTAATAACACTGGTGGCAGAATGGACCCTTGTGGGTCACCATTTGTTCACAGTTTCCATTGATCCTTATAAGGATTATCATGTACTCACTGTGTGAATGACAGCACAGGCATTTAGGTGCCAGCAGCACAGCATTGCTGCTCCAAGAAATGGTACTTCTTCAAGGGAGAAGAACTCTATAAAGATTTCTTATCTTTTATCAGAGTATTCACCTACTCACTGAACCATGGACTTGCTCAGTTAGGGTGATTCAGCAAGGAGGTGTGTTAACAGTTAAGTAACTCAGATTGCTTCCTGCTTCTCTCTTTCTGTATTTGTAGGCACAGAAAAGACAGGGAAGTGATTTGAGACAGCTAGCAAGCTTCAGCAAAGGAAGGTACAGTTCAAATAACCTACTGGCCTTGTACAATGGAGTGACTACCTCAGTGGAAAAGGGAAGGGCTACAGATGTCATCTACTTGGATTTCTGCAAGGCCTTTGACAAGGTCCCCACAACTTCCTTCTTTTTAAGTTGGAAACATATAGATTTGATGGGGAGACTGGGACTGGGCTCTGGGACCATGTAAATGACAAAAACAAGTTTGCTCCAGGGAAGGGAATTCCTTATAGGAACAACCAGCTGCACACATTTTACTGTATCACATTTATTTTCCTGATGACCTCTACAGATCTCTGGAGGAAAGTCTCTCATTACTGCTTTTGTGAGCAGCATGCTTTGTATTTTTTGAGATTCGATTTACAGGGATGGAGAATCTCATTTAAGCTTTGCTGTAGTGTTGCTCTGATTAAGAGTCAATAAGGCACTGCCAAGAAAACACAGCAGCATAAGGAGGAGGAATACTCTAACAAAGGAAACCAAGAAAAAAAAAAATAAAGGAAGCATCAGCAACTGAATAGAAAGTGGGGCAGCTCTGTTGTTGGATAAAGGGAAGATGTGTTTGAAGATGCACATGGGGAAAAAATAAGTTGCTTCAGCCCTGCTTCCCACAGTGGCTTTTTAGTGTTGGATACATTAAAAGATGCTGCAAATTCATGCTGTGGGAATTCCAGTACCAGATGAAATGAGTAGGAAGAAAGGCACGGTATAAACTTTCTAGCTTGCAAACAGCAAGTTAGAGAATTCTGTACTTGGAAAAGAGCTTGAGTTTCCCCAAGCAAATGTTGAATCATCTAGCCAAAAAAAACCCCATAGATTAAGGCATGTGCAGCAGCATATCCAGCTGTTTTCCCTCCACTCCTCTGACAGAGGGCTGCTTGGGCAAAGGAGCTGCCCTGCAGATGAAGAGTCTCACAAAGCTGATCCAAATGAGCTGTGCCAGACCCCTGAAACATGGAAACAAAGGCAACATTAAGAAATAACATAAGTGGTTAATGTGTGACATCACCTTTTACTGGGCATACGAGATCTGACTTTAGGCCCACATTTTATGTTCCTTGTTTACCCAAACATGCCTGAACCTGTTCTGAGGAAGGTTCTGATCAAGCCAAGAAAAGTTGAGTCTGTGTATGTATCACCTCTCTGTCACAGCCATAGTGTCTAAGCTTTCTTGTCTAGACATCTCCTTTTGGAATATCACTTGTTACAAACCTTCCTTAACACTGCATTCTCTTCAAATATCCATTTGCACTTTGGGTTAATAATCCCCTCTGTGAAGGTTTTTTGCTGACTGTTGATTTTGCAACCAGTCATTTTACTCTTTTTATTACCATGTGTAGTTTAGCAGGGTTTGGGACCTCCAGTTTATTCCTGGGTTGGCAGGGAGAGGTGACAATGCTTTAGTTTTTACTGGGCAAAAGTATTGCACAGTGTGCTTTTATAGGGATAAACCTCATGAGAGAAGTACAGCAGGGAATGCCATGTTGGTGATGTATCCTTCTGAGAGGCCTCCTAAAATCTGCCATGAGGGTAAGGGGTGAGGATGACCAGAGAACATGATTCCAAGGGTACTGCTATCTGAGCAGTGTAGAAATTGCCAGCTGGTCTGCACTGCACTGCACCCCAAGGGCAACTATATCACCTGCTCACAACCCTCAAAGTGAATAAAATCGCCCCTCTGGTGACCAGGAGAGACAGAGCCAGATAGGAACGTCCACTGATTAAAATCAGAGTAACAGCAGCTTTGGGAGGTAATATTTTCTTTGCCTAAGAGAAACAGAGGGAAAACTCAGAGATATCTGCTTCAGAGAGCTCCTGGCTGTAAGGAACTTCTCAGTTACATATGCCAAGAAAATAAATAATACCTTCTTTCCTCTCTAAGAAATGGTGGTTTTCAAAAAGGAAATGTCATTAAGTATATTTCCTAGGAAATATAAATAGAGACATCCAAAATAATCTCTCTCCTATTAACAGTGCCTGTGTAACACCATTATCATGCTGAGATTCTGAAAGGGATCTCTCAGATACGACCAAGGCACTTCAATAAGACTTCCAAATTAAGTTCTTCCAGAAACTCTTTCAGGCAGAAAGTGACATTTGCCAATTGACTTGCTACTATAAAATACGTAGAGTAGGAAGAATGCCAGATGCTCTTGGAATTGAATTTGGAATTCCCACTTTGGTGAACAGAGCAAGCAAACCAGAAACTGGCTGCAAAGCAGTAAGACGTGCCCCAAAATACATGGATTCTGAGTTATCCCCATGGCATCTGTCCACCTGAGCCAAGCAGAGGAGCAGGAGAGGCTGACACATCAGCACAGCCTGCAGTCTTTATTTCAAAGTGGGACAAAGCCCAGCAGTTGATACCACAGCGTGTTCCAAGCTTCATGTGCGGATTGTGCAGATTTTCAGCAATCAGCTGCAGAGAGCTGATCCTATCCTTCATCTCTCACCAACAATGCTGTGTTTTCCCTCCTCAAGCACCAGAGTAACTGGCCTGTATATAGCTTGGGTGCTCAGAAGCCCATGGAAATGGAAATACCTTTACTCCGTGTTCCAGCCACAACTGGCTGGAACACAAAGAGTAAAGCTATTTGTTGTAGTTGTGCCTGTGTGGACTGACACAAGGGCTTTTGCAAGAGCACTGGGCAGAAAACAAAGGCCAAGTAGAGTGTGATGCCCACTGTCTGCCAGTTAACAAGATGGAAGAACTGGTGGCAATGGATGTGAAGAAGGCTGAGGTACTCAGTGTGTTCCTTGCCTCAGTCTTCACTGGAAGTCAGGTTTCCCATGCCTCTGGAGTCACTGAAAATGCAGATGGTGGCTGGGGGAGCAAAGTCCCTCCTACTGGAAGTGAAGAGCAGGTTTGAGACCACTTGATGAAGCTGAAAAGACACAAGTCTATGGGACTGGATGACATGCATCCCAGGGTCCTAAGGGAACTGGCTGGTGTTGTTGCCAAGCCACCCTCCATCATATTTGAAAAGTCATGGCCTTCAGGTGAAATCCTTGGTGAATGGAAGAAGGGAAATATCATCTTGAAACCAGGGTCCTCATAAAACAGGAAAGCTGGACAGGAAGAACGCACATCGAACCAATATGGCTAATGCAACATTCTCCATTTATTAGTGAGAAGATGAAAGTTTATATACACTTCAATATAATTTACAGTTTACAAAGGCACTCTCATTGGCAAGCTAACATTGTTTACCTTTGCCTTAAGGTGGCCTAAACCTCACACTATAAACCTATACTACTTCACACCCAGACAGCCCAGTGCTTCCCATCACACCTTAATATAAATTCTAACTGCATCACAGTCTTAGAGGGCCTCACAAGGCCCAAATCTGAGGCCTAGGCTGGAGTAGCTCAAATCTCATTCCAGACATAAATCATGCCCTCTCCCTCTCAGAAATTCTGCAACATCATCTTATTTTTAAAAAGGGGAGGAAGGAAGATCTGGGGAACTACAGAGCAGTGAGCCTCACCTATATGCCTGTGAACAACATGGAACAGATCCCCATGGGAACAATTCTAAGGCATGTGCAAGACAAGTAAGATGATCCAAGACAGCCTGCATGGCTTTACTAAGGGCAGATTATGCCTGACCAATCTGGTGGCCATCTGTGATGGAGGGATTGCAGCCATCAAAAAGGGGAAACCAGCCAATGTCACTTGCATACCTCGACTTCCTTAAGAACTTTGGCATGGTCCCACGTGGCATCCTTATCTCCAAACTGAGATACATGGGTTTGAAGGGTGAACTATTTGGAAAATAGACACACAGAGAGTTGTGGTCGGTGGCTCTATGCCCAGAAGTAGACCAGTGATAATTGGAGTCCATCAGGGTTCTCTGTTCTGGGACCAGTGATTTTTAAGATCTTTATCAATGACACCCTCAGCAAGTCTGCAAATGACACAAAGCTCAGGGGTGCAGCTGACACAACAAAAGGATGGGATTCCATCCAGAGGGACCTAGACAAACTTGAGAAATGATTCCATACTTACCTCATGAAGTTCAACAAGCCCAAGTGCAAGGTGCTGCACCTGAGTCGGGGCAATCCCAGACATGAGAGCATAGACTGGGAGATGGTCATGGGGTGGGAGCACCTCTCCTATGAAGACAGGTTGAGAAATCTGGGGTTGTTCATCTCAGAATAAAGAAAGCTCCAGGGATACCTCATTGCAGCCTTCCAGCTCTTGAAATGGGCTTATAAGAAAGAGCAGGAGCAGCTTTTTGAGTGGGCAACTAGTAACAAGATGAGGATGGAATGGTTTTGAATTAAAAGAGTAGACATTTAGATTGGATGTTATGGAAAAGTTCTTTACTGTGAAGTTGATGAGGCACTGAAAGAGGTTGTTTAGAGAGGTTGTGGATTTCGTCCCTGGAAGTATTCAAGGCCAGGTTGGATGGGACTTCGAGCAACCTGGTCTAGTGGAAGGTGTCATGTTTTCTCAGCGCTGCAGGATTTGCAATCTAACAGCCACAGCCAGGGCGAAGGGGACGCAGGAAGGAAAGCTTGTCATTGAACTTGATTGCCTTGTAATTTGGAAGGTGTTCATGCTCTCGTGCAATGTATTGAAATCCACTTCCATCACCGTGCTCACACAGCAGCCAGACACCTTTCTGGACTTTGTGTGAAGATGTGGTGTCATTGTCATGTCCCCTGGACAGATTGGTGGCTTCTCTTATTATTCTGCTCTTCCCTCGATAATCAGCATGCTCATAGAGAGTGATCTGGGGATTGTGCAGATTTTCAGTGATCACCTGCAGAGAGCTGATCTTGTCATTCATCTTTTTACCAACGAAGTCATGATTTCCCTCCTCAAGTACCAGTAACTGTCCTTTATAGTTTGCATGCTGATAAGCCACCCAAGGATGGCCAATTACTCTCACTGAGGAGATACAATCATTCCAATCTGCATCTTTTAGGTTGGCAATGTTGGTGTGGAATTCTTTGGACATACCCTGGAAGTTAGCATGCTCATAAACTATGATTTTTCCCATCTCAGCAGGGCTTCTGAGGTTTGGATTTTCTGCTGTTGGATGGCAGCCTACAGAAAATGAAAACAGAAAACAGGTAATGCTTATAAGAGACCTTTATATACCAGACATGAAATGCTGGAAACCAGAGGGGACAAAAGGTGAAAAGGAAATACAGAACAATTTTAGCAGAAGATAAAAATAGCAACAGTTGTGAAAGAGTGAGGACATGACACAGAAATTTTAGTTTGGAGGAAAAAAGTAAAATGAAATTTGTACACCACAACAATCCAGTTTAATTTAGTATGTATACAAGTGAGGGACACCTGAGCATTTTGTTTAACATCTTATTGGTGTATCCTAAGTAATAACAAAACAAAATATATAACTCATGATAAATCTTTCTGTTGATAATTGATGCTGCAGATGAGAAATGTTTTAGAAACTGGCACTCATTGTTTGGAGTCAGTTTCATGAGACACATAGAATGCAATGTAAAAGTAGTGAGATATGCAATTAATTTCTAAAAGAAAGTGATTTTTTTTACATAAAATCAGGAGGGAAAAAACCTGTCTTTTAAGGGCAGAAATTAAATTCACTGAAACACCTTATTTTCTTTTTATATTAATTTTACTGAAATCAAGAGATTTCTTCTCTTGATATACACCAAGAAGCAACCAAATTGTAATAATCAGCTTTTTAAATCAGACTGAATTTCAGGTTTTAAATGTCTTTTCGTAACACTACTACCAATACACATATCTAATCCCCCACAGTTGTCTGAGTTCAGTTAAAAAGCCAGAGTATTTATCAGTAACAGCTGCAGAAATAGTAATGAGCAGTCAGTTATGATAGTAGCTCCCTCTCTAAATCATGTAGCAGTTACTGAAACAAAGATTTACATTTCAGGACAAATAAATGAGACTAAAAAAGCCGTTCCTCTAGCTGATTCTGAGAAGGGATGGGAAAAGACAGATAGCAGAATATTTTTAGCAGAATAAACATAGCAGTAGCTGGAAAAGAGTGAGGGCATGACATAGAAATTTTCATTTGGAAGACAATGTACAATAGCTATGTACCCATAACTACCCAGTTTTAATTAGATATATGTGTTGGTTTACAGATATCCCCCAGCGTAAGTTGTAAAATACTCTCACATTCAACTGTGTATCCCTGGCCCCCTCCACCCTGTCCCTTGGTAAGGTTTGTTTCTCCTGCAGCAGCCATCTCCTCGTGCCCTGAAGGATGGGTTCAGTCTCTGCACATGCACACAGCAGAGCCTCCCGTCTGTGCTGCAGCTCTCAGCCCAACGCTGGAGCCTCCTTCCCTTCCCCTGCATTCCACAGCAGCTGCCCAGGAAACCTCCCAGATCTCCTGTGCAAAGTGTGCCTCTTACCTTGATGCCAGCTGCAGGGCTGGGGAGAGCTGAGGGCAGTTCCTCCAGGGCAGGGCTGCTGTTTATGAGGGGCATCTCACCTCCCTGTATTTATACGTGCACAGAAGTCTTGTGAAGCACCTCAGTCAACAGAACTGAGAAATGGTCAATAAGTGAACACAAATCATTAACTATTTTATTTAAATTTTGATCTTTCTACAACCAGTTGTGTTATTGCTTTGGGTCAAAAGTCTGTTGAAGCATAAGCCCTTGATAAAACCTTAGAACTTTGGTTCTTGTTTTTTTCTTCTCCTCCAGAAGTACATTAATCACAGTAATTAAAATGTATCAAAGTATTTTGTGATACACAAGCAATAGAATTTTTCTGCCTGTTGCAAATTTTTCTTTACCTGTGAAGCAAATATAAGAAACAATGTTCATTTACCAAAGGGTTTTGTTGGGACATGTCCACTTGACATGGGTGGGGGCATTTAAGTAGGGTTTTATTAACTTCCTCTTTCTCACCTATGTAGCCATATGAGCAGCTGCAAGGAGGCAGAGCTGCTAAAGCAGGGCCAGGAGGCTCTGACAAAGCTGCAGGGGCAATATTTTTCTTTTTTCTTATTGCAGGCTCAGTCTGCAATGTTTTCAGACAGGTTCATTGGCTAGCATGCTGTTCTGCTGCTGGAGAAAGCAATAGGATCTTCATTAGTTCACTTGAAGCACCCCTGCTCTGTCAGGTAGGAAGTAACTGGAGAAAATGGGGAGCTGAAAGGGAGATAGTTCATACCTGCAAAACAAGCAGCCTGTACACCAGATCCAGCCAAATCCTCATGCTGTGTCTCTTTCACTGGTGCTTGCCTGAGCCCATAACTAAGCCAGATCACAAAACTAAGCCAGCATAAAACTACTTGAGGTTTTGGGGGTTTTTCCATGTGATCCATTGTTTTGCTGCTCTGCAGAGGCTGGAAGCAGAGCAGTTGAATTTTGGAAATCGAAATTTTGGGGTTTTGAAGAGAAACAGGCCCTCACTTTATAGCAACAGCTGGATGAGAAGTCCCTTTTCTGAACAGGCAAATCACAACTTTAGGGCATGTTTTCGTGTGTTGCAGTGACCTCAGCCTACAGTTCAGTGCTGCTGGAAAGGGGAATACTCCATTCCACTCCTGAAGCATTGTGTCCACTGTCTGGTAAAGAGAATGGAGGAAGAATGAGAACACCAATGTGAGGAATGCTTGAAAGAGGGACCAAACAGCCTAGAATAGGATGGATTTACACAGCCACTGGACAACATTCTTTCTTCTTAGCTTGCTAATATGTTTTACTCATTGAATTATTATTTGTGCTTCTCAGAAAAAAAATCAAATAATGTGTAATGACATAATTAATCATGAACTAAACATTCCCATCTTCCTCAGCACCTACAGAAAGCACCTTTGACCAAATGTATGAACCACAAAGGCATCACAAAGCCCAAGTCTGAGTGTATCTCAGCTATGGTACAGAGTAGTTTACATTTCTCAATCTTACATTTCAGGCAACAGTGAACTCCTAAGCCATGCAAGTACTCCCTGCAGAGCACCAAAGACAGCAGTGGGGCTTTCTGTGGCTTTGAGGAAAATCAAAAGGTGATGTATGATGGAATGCTGTATGATGGAATCCTTTACCATGCTTTCTGTGCTACTGCAAAAACACGGAAAAGGATCTCTGTACAAATACTCCCAGGTTCACAAAAAGAAATGAGTTCCTGGTTGTCACTCACCATCTGTCCTAGTGTTATTGGATTGAAAACTAAATGGCTTTTAATATCATTAATGTCACCTATATGGTGCTCTATTCAAAAGGAAGTAAGTCACTGAACAGTGCAGAACAACACAGGGTGGGGTTGAGGGGTTGATATTGGAAATATTTATGGAGTTTTCTTTGTGGGTTGGGTTTGTTTGCTTTTATTGATTATGGATCACAGAATGGTTTGGGTTGAAAGAAACCTTAAAGATGATTCCAACCCCCCTGGCATGGGCAGGGACACCTTCCACTAGACCAGGTGCTCAAAGTCCTATCCAACCTGGCCTTGAACTATTCCAGAGATAAGGAATTCCCAGTTGCTCTGGGCAATCTGTTCCTGTGCCTTACTACCCTCACAGTAAAGAATTGTTCCTAATACCTAAACTAAACCTGCCCTCTTTCACCTCAAAGTCATTCCCCCTTGTACTCCCACTGTGTGTCCTCATCAAAAAAATCCCTCTCCAGCTCTCTTTTAGCCCCTTTGGCTACTAGAAGGCCACAATAAGGTCACTCCAAAGCCTTCTTCAGGCTGAGGAACCACAGCCCTATCAACCTTTCTTCACAGGAGAGGTGCTCTAGCCCTCCAATCATCTTCATGTCTCTCCTCTGAACTCTTTCCAACTGGTCCACAGCCTGAGACTTGTGCTGAGGTCCCCAGAGCTGGACACAACATTTTGGGTGGAGCAAATTTATGGGAAACAATGTTTCCCAAAATTCCTCTTAACGCCGTCCTGCGGAAACAGTGGTATCTCCAAATCTGAAAGCATCAGACAAAAGTGAAAAGATAAGAGAAGGAGGATAAACCCCTCTTCCTCTATTGCTCTCAGCACATGAAAAGCAACAGAAGGAGCAAGAAGAACAGTGACACACAGATTCTTTGAAAATGTGCAGCTATGCAAAAAACACTCCAGCAAGGGAAGAATAAAGACTAAAATATTTTCATCTTTTCCATAAAACTGTTTTTTGGATTTTTTTTTTCTTTCTTTAGAGCCTATTTACTACTAGATTGCAGGGTGATAAAACAATATCACTTAAAGCTGTGGATGTCACATATGCACCACTTCACAGTGCTGGAAAAGGTTAAATGGTAGAAAAATTTATTTAACAACAAATTCCTTCACCCACCAGATCCTGTTGTGCTCCTACCCTGCTCTACCACTGCAGATATCTTAGTTTGTATCTCAGCACTCATCTGTTTTTATTCCTTACTTTAAAACAAGAGGACTAAACAACCAGTAAAATCACACATGAAGTATAGCCCCCCAGTTTCTGTTTGCTATTTTTGTCTTGTAGTTTTGGGCTCAAGGTGGCAGAGCACTGGTTCCTTTATTTTAGAGGAGACTTTGTGGTTGGAGAGGGTGGTTTTTGGAGTGGGTTTTTTACCCACTTAGCAGTTGTTAGTGCTAGTAATATAATTCTTCATCACAAAAATAAAGTTTATTATTTCCCACTTTTCACTCTCCAACTTCTGTTTCTTAAGCAAAACAGGTCCCAAAAATGCAACATAGGAAAATGCCACTGGACCACAGAACCCTAAACTGTGAACAGTCTACATGCTAATAAATATATTCACTACCAAACCCTTCGGGGGGGGGGGGGGGGGGGCGGGGAAGGCCCTTATTTTGCCTAGCACATATCTCACCTTAACTCCTCCTTTTTTGCTTTCCTCTGTTTGCTGCACTTCCCAGTTGCCTCTCTTCAGTACAGCAAACTGAACAACACTTTTTCAGCAAAGAGAGAGACGTATTGGATGACTGCTGCATATTCAATCACAGCACTGTGAGCGAGCTCCAAAGAAATTGTACTGGAAAGAGAGACACAGCAAACACAGACTGACAAAAGCCTTACAAGTCCCACTTGACACAACACACATGGCAGAAAACAAAGTGAAGGTATTTTCTAACTATTATTTCCTTTCCCAAGTCTACTCTTCCCATATGAAGGAAAAGGCAACAGGTTGTCTGTGAGTAACTGCTAGTTCAAAACATCAGAACACAGCTGGGCTGGTTTTTGGTTTTTTTAATAAATGTACAAATCGTTTTCCATGGAATAGTTCCTAAGCTAGGACTCCACAAACACAAAGACCCAAGCTCAACAGTGGGGAGAAGCCAAAGGAAGGCATCACAGAGCCTTAAAATGTTTCAGCTTCCCAGCACCACATTTTGCATCTACAGCTGCAGGTTTAGAAAATTAATTCCTTTCGTGTTTAATTAGCAAGCTGCGCTCCTAAACCCTTTGGTGTTACATCCAAGCACGTGTGACAGACACGGACCTGCCCTCGACTCAACACTAGGTGTCACTTCTGCTTCAGAAATACAACAGAGAAATGGCCACACTTCAGGAAAAAGCCAACCCACCAGGCTTCAGACTTTTCAGGGGATCTGCACCTACAACACTTGCTAAAGTCGTGGACAGGTACAGAGTTTTAAAAATTTGCATTTCTCAAACTATGCATCTAAAAAACCACCAGAAAATATTAGTCAATGCTTTGCCATACTCAACATACCAGTGACAGAGAAGTTTCTCTTCTCCCTTGTGGGTGCAAAGGAACATTTTCCAACATGAGCAAGGGAGCACAATGCAGAGAAGCTGGCAGAGCCTGCTCTGGCACAGAGGCTGGTCTGGCAGGCCTGTTCTGGTGCCACTTTGCTGCTGCAGGTGGAAGAGCTGCCGTGCTGCTTTCAGTCCTTCCTTGCCTGCCAAAAGGCTCCCAAGCAGCAGGGGCCAGCTCAGAGGAGAGAAAGTGGCAGAGTGTGGTGGTCAGGGCTCTGAGGCAGGCTAGGGCATGAGGTACTGGCAAGAACACAGTAAAAATAGAAAATATACTGAAGTGGGGTACAGAGGTAGGGAAAAGGGCTCCCTCTGGGGACACATGGACTGTAGTAGAACCATTTTATTTGCTATGGCTTACAGAAACTGAAGTAGGAGACCAGAAAGGAAGAAGCAGCAGGCTTAAAAAAGAAAATACATTAGGAATTTAAACACAGTTCTTGTGTGCATCCACAAGATATTGTAAAGACCAAAGGCTCCATGTGGTTTAAAAATCAACAAGTCACAGGCAGAGAAAAAATTCACCAAAGACTTGAAGACAAACTTACTTATGCAACTAGAGAAAATCAGAGTAGCCACTATCTCCTTGCCTGATGCTCTTTCCATGAAGATTTACATCAGGTCACCACCCCTACAGCATTCCCCTAGAGAAGGGCTAGTCTGAGCACCAGTCCCACACCAGAAAGACCTCAGGACACACAGGCACAACAGCTAAGAGCCTGGGACCCAAAACTTGAACTCAGGGGGTTGCAACTCAAGAAAACTCAGAATCATAATGAGGCTCAGCAGCTCAAGAGAGGAAAC